ATTTTGTACATTTCTTTATCATTTCTGTTTGTTGCTACATTTATTTTAGAAAAAAATTATAAAGAATATCCTTCTAGGGGATTTCACGATTTCCCATGAAAATCGGGGTTGTTCTGCTTTTCTGTTTACCCTTGAAAATCAGACTGTTTTGCTTGAAAAATGATGTTTTTATTGATAATTAAAAAAAGTGTAAAATTAAGCAAATTGGTATGTTTTTGAGATGAAAGCCACATTTGGTCCAGAACCGGTATTTCACCTACTACTGTTATTAAACTTTTAACAAACGCCTTAATTTTTTTATCTTTGCAAATGCAACACACTAAAAAAATGTTACAACCTTATAGCTTGTACCTTCTTCTTTGCGGTAGTAAAAAAAAATATTTCTAGATGTCTTAGTTTTTGTGTAATAAATTTTTAAAAATTGCATGTTTTCGTCAAAAAAACCGTCTTATTTTTAAACTAAGCAAAATCGACCAATAAAAGTTTAACTTAAAAACATTGTTTTAAAAGACTACATACAAAAATAAAAAAAAAACACAAGTTTGTATCGTAACTTATTTTTAGGACATGCTGGTGATATATATGTCCTATACAATTTTTTTTTAATTTTACCATTTGAACTCGCTGGAATAGCCTGTATTTATCTCCCAAAGTTTTGATCTACAAGCAATTTCGCCCTTTTTCAATCTCTAGTTAAGTAGTTTTAATACGACTTATGGGAACCAAGTAGCAAAAAGCTTGCAAGCATCCCTCCGGAACAAAACTCGAGCACTGGCGCAAATAACAGTCAATAAATAATGACTTTGAAGTATTAAAAACAAAAATCGATAGTTAACTCCCACTAACAATCAACTTGAATTTTTTTAGGGCTTTGGATGATAACTTTATAAAAACAATCGACGTCGGTGTGTTCATCGACGTCCTCAATTTAACTTCCTTGTAAGTAGATGGCGATTCGTTGAAAGCTGAGATCATTACAAAATCCATTTCAGAACACTCAAGCGAAACCAATTTAAGACACTGGACAAGAAAGTGTTGGCACCGTTAACAATCCTCAAACACATGTAAGATTTTAACTTTATTACGTTTAACAACCGGAGAAAAGAAAGAGGAAACTTTATTTATTTTGGACGTGACTACGAATAAAGCAGAAATTTCTATTAATCGCAAATTTGGATAAAACTTAACTGTGAAAGCACTCAGAAGTTTCAGAAATGAAAGTGGGAATGTTTGAAATGAGACACTAAAGCATATTTGGCAGAAATGATGATTGTTAAGTCGGGAAAGTAGTCAAGAGTTGAGTTGGATGTAATAAAGTGAACAAATTTATTGTTTACGCTCCTTTTTGGGCTTAGCTTTGAATGTTATAACTCGTCTAATAAAGTTTGTTGATTTTCAAATGCAAACACAATTTAAAAATATGAATAAAAATATAGAAATGTTTGGAACAGTTTCTTGCATATTTGGCGCTAAATAGATTTTCCACAAAAGTTTTATATTAAAAATTGAGAATGGAAACTACAGAATTTTAACCACTTTAAGAATAAAAATTTGTCATACACTACTACAAAAAAATATTTTTTTTGTGATTTTTCAAAGGCTGTAATTCGTATCTTGATTTCATAAAATCCATTTTGAAGCTTTAAGTTTCTAGTTTTGAGGTTTTTGGGCAAAAAATTCTTCTATGGTAGGGTTATCACGCAATCCTAGACAATAGGCGAAAAAAAAATTCAAAATTTTTTTGTTTTTTTAAATTCTAGCTTTGAAAAAACTTTTAAAAAAATCATGAAATATTAATTTGTCCTTTTTGTATATTCTTGTTGTTTTGCATATGTACTTTAAATTTCAGTGTAATTTAACTGCGTTTTTTATAGTTTTATGTCTTTTTCTAGGCGAAGTTGCCATCAAATTTTGACTAATAAGTTATATTTTTTAAGTTAAAATCCTGAAATCTAGAAAAATTTAGATATTAGCAATATAATCTGGCGTTTTTAGCTCGAGTTAAACAAATTTCAAAAAATATAATTATACTTTCAAGATTTATTCTTTAAGCGTTTTGATCTTACATAGGTTACACATATTAAAAAAAAATAAATTTTGAAAAAACAAATTTTTTCTGTTTAAATACAAATTATGATTTTTGTCCCAAAATCAAGTAATTCAATGCATTGTGGGACGTTGGGATTTTTTTTTTTGGTTAAATCAACGCATAGGCCGAATAGCACACATTTTCCTTACGTGAATTTGTCGCTGAAATATCTGACTTGAAATAAAAAATGAAAAAAAAATTGTTTAATTTTTTTTATTTTTAGCAAATAACTAATGCAAAATTGTAAAAAAAGTAGAAGAAGAGTGTTTTTTTCATGTTGATAAAGATTAGGTATTGTTCAGAAACAATACAGGGTGTTCCAATGAAAACGGGCCACCCCGAATATCTCAGAAACTAAAAAGAATTTGCAAAAACGCCGAAACAGGTCGATTTTGTTTCCGAGGGGGACATTTTTTAACGTAACTTTTAAAGCTTTTCAAAACTTTTTACCAAAATTAAATCAGACCATCCAATCATGAGATACAGGGTGTTCTAATAAAAACGAACCAGAAAGAATTTGCAAAAAAACAGAACAAAACAGGTTAATTTTGTAGTAGACAAAAGTCGCTGAAACCTGGTTTACGTGGAAATTTAACTTTCATTTAAAAAAAACAACAAACTGGATAATTTTTTCAGCAAAAGAATGATTGAAGAAATTGGCACAAAAATTACAGAAAAATAAGGTTTATTTTTTGTTCTTTTTTTTTCAACCACAAAAAGTGGACAAAAATCGCTAAAACATGGTTTACATTGAAAAACTTCTGATTGAAAACAGAAATATGTGTTAATTTTTTTGAAAAAATGGTACAAGAATACAAAGAAAATAAGGCTACTTTTTAATTCTTTTTTTTTCC